TTCTCCCTCTCCCACTCCCCCTGCTTGTGTTCCCTCTCTTGCTGTGTCTCTCTCTGTCAAATAAATACATAAAATCTTAAAAAAAAAAAAAAAGAGAACAATACCCACATTTTAATCAGATGGCAATTGGTATATATTAAGACTGTTGAAAAATGATTGATGGGGCACCTGGGTGGCTCAGTCAGTTAAATGACCAACTCTTGATAACAGCTCAGGTCTTGATCTCAGGGTCGTTAGTTGAGCCCTGTGTTGGGCTCCACGCTGGACATGGAGCCTACTTAAAAACAACAACAACAACAACAAAAACCCACCAGAAAAACCCCAATTGATTGTTAAAGGCCTGTTGTTGGTTTGTTTTACACCATATCCAGCCTGAACAACTGGTAGTGCTTCGCAGTGCTAGAAATATAAATCTGGTTGGAGGAATGTGTTTGTGTGCCATAAGTAACTGATAGTGATGAATAATGAGTAATCATTTTGTTTTTTCATTGACGTTCTAACCTTGGTAAAAATTGAGAATTGTTAAATTGAAGTATGTAAAAATGACCATAAATTGATAGGCTCCTTTTGTTTTGCTCTGCCTCAAGGAAGGTTTATGTAACACACATATAACTGCTTTGAAATATGGGTCTGTCTGCTCTAGACCACGTTTTCCTGTGCTTATACATCTGTACTAGAAATGCCATTCAATTAGCAATTATAAATAGCTGTCCATTGCTAAAGAGCTAGGTGAACTAAAGGTAAATTCTGGAAACCTTCAGGGAAAGGAAGTTTGAGGGAATTAATCTTATCTTTTCACTATTCCCTGCAATGAAGATAACCTTTTTTACATGCACACAAAAAAGTTATTATTTATTGAAGATTTTATTTATTTGACAGAGAGAGACACAGCGAGAGAGGGAACACAAGCAGGCAGAGTGGGAGAGGGAGAAGCAGGCTTCCCACTGAGCCCGATGTGGGGCTCGATCCCAGGACCCTGGGACCATGACCTGAGCCGAAGGCAGACGCTTAACAACTGAGCCACCCAGGCGCCCCCAAAAAAGTTATTTAAATGGCACTTCTATCAACCACATTGTTTGCTGCTTAAGAGAAATCTGCTCTGGCTCTTTTTGTAATATGAATAACTGTTCTCTCTCAAATCAAATCCAAAATTTTGTACCAATACTGAATTTGCTTAAAAGAAGATAGGCCTTAAAGAAGGCAGTGGAGGAAATACAAACATTAAGCAATTGTGAGGCACTTGGGCCACATGTATACATACTCTTAATCACCAAAAACTTGAACCCTCATCTTATATCAGGGAGTGTTTAAATGCATTCTTATTTCATCCTCTGACCAAACTCCATCATCCATCCCCATTTTAGAGATTGAAGTTTAGAAAGGGAATATGAAGTGATTTGTTCCAAATTCCATGCTAGTATGTGACTGGATTTGAACCTAGGTCTGTCATATTTTGTTGCCTGATTTTTCTTTTCTTTTCTTTTTTTTATTTAAGATTTTATTTATTTGACAGAGAGAGAGAGAGAGCACAAGTAGGGGGAGTAGCAGGTCGAGGGAGAGGGAGAAGCAGGCTCCTTGCTGAGCAGGGAGCCGGATGTGGGGCTCCATCCCAGTACCCTGGGATCATGACCTGAGCCAAAGACAGAGGCTTAACGACTGAGCCACCCAGGAGCCCCTGTTGCATGAATTTTCAGTAACCCTTTTAGGTTATGGGCCATAATGAGTGTTAAAAGCACTAGAAATTTCTCTGTGCCTCTTTGCTTTCTGGCATTGCAACAACCTTAAGAACTGTGGCCTTGCAGGTATAGATATATGATTCTTGGGCTGTGCACGGAAAGATTTATGGCAAACACGATTAAAGGGCCACTTTTCTCCAAAACTTCACTTATTGCCTTACTTCCCAGTTTTATCCAAGCTGACAGTCAACCTCTGCTGTGATTTCTCTATGCGGAGGGGATTCTGGATCTGCCAACTGTTTGTTGCTGAATCGACTCCTGAATAAATGTGAATTAATGTACATACCTGAGAAAGTGGAGAGTTGTAGTTTTGAGATCAGGAGGGATGGGGCTGGTGGACCCAATAGTAGATTATCTAAAGCATGCCCTCTTTTACTGTCTCACCTTTCTCTCTTGTCTGGCACCACTGATCCTGCCCTCCCATTCACTTTTTTTTTTTTTTAAAGCAGAGCTATAGGGGCTCCTGGGTAGCTCAGTTGTTAAGCATCTGCCTTTGGCTCGGGTCATGATCCCAGGGTCCTGGGATTGAGCCCTGCATCGAGTCCCGCATCAGACTCCCTGCTTGGCGGGAAGCCTGCTTTTCCCTTTCCTACTCCCCCTGCTTGTGTTCCTGCTCTCGCTGTCTCTCTGTCAAATAAATAAATAAAATCTTAAAAAAAAAAATAAAGCAGAGCTGTATTGTGAAGCCCTGTAATTAAAATTAAAAATTTTTTCCCCAAGATTTTATTTATTCATTTGAGACACAGGGAGGGAGAGAGCATGAGCAGGGGGAGAGGCAGGGGGAGAGGGAGAAGCAGGCTCCCCCCCCCAGCCAGGAGCCCGATGCGCGGCTCGATCCCAGGACCCTGGGATCATGACCTGAGCCGAAGGTAGACGCTTAACCATCTGAACCACCCAGGTACCCCTAATTAAAAATTTTACGTACAATTTATTTTTTCTACTTTTTTTGATGCATTTACAGAATGTAGTGCATATTTTATTTCAGACGTCAGGAAATGCTTTAGGGTGTGGGGTTTTCTTGTGGGTGTGAGGAAGAAAGAACAATAAGCTTATCGCCTGCCTAGAGAATTGACTAAAAGGGCAAATACAACACTGGTCCTAGAATGCTTAACTTTTTGATGACTGAGTCAGAGGGACCGAAGTTCTGGCCCTAAAGCCAACAGTTAGAACACAGTTGATCATTAACTAGCTGGTCAAATTGGGCAAGTTAATTTAATCTTAAACTGGAGTTTATAAAATTCTAATATTGTTGTGAGGATTAAATGAAACTGGCTATAAATGCACTGGCTGACTTATGTTTAATAAATGTTAGCTATTATTTTGTTATTATTCTGTACTATAAAGTGCTAGTTTAATTGGGTTGGAACGAATTTCGTTACATAGACCATTTTGGAATTATATCTGGGATATATCATTTGAAGAAGGAATCAGTCTTTTGAAGGTTTAGAATTCAAAAAAAATTTTTTTTCGAAGATTTTATTTATTTGACAGAGAGAGACACAGTGAGAGAGGGAACACAGGCAGGGGGAGTGGGAGAGGGAGAAGCAGGCTTCCCGCCGAGCAGGGAGCCCGACGCGGGGCTCGATGCGGGGCTCCAACCCAGGACCCCGGGATCATGACCTGAGCCGAAGGCAGACGCTTAACGACTGAGCCACCCAGGCACCCCATATTTTAGCATTCTTTTAACGAAATCTATAGGCACAAGAAATAAACATCTTGGTATTAAATTAAATTACTTAATTAAATTGAAAGTGATATTTACTCTGAATCCTTTGTAAAATGGAAAAGATCACCACATCAGGGTATGGCTTCTTCTCAAGTTTCATGTTAATTTCTTTTTTGTTTCCCATTTTAGTGAACGGATTTCTCAAATGCCCTCTATTATTTTTATCAGTGGTCTTTTATCACCTCCTCCCCAATGCTTATATTCTAACTTGTGTTATTTATGTCAGAATTTTATCTTTTAATAGTGTCACATATTGTTAAAAAAAGTTTTTGCTATGCTAAGCAACATGTTGGCTACTTCTTTGGACACCAGCATCTTTAAATGTAAGCATTTGCATATATTCCTTTGCCACCTAAAATTTTTTCATCCTTAATATTCTTTTCCATGGAACTGTGGGTAGTCTGATAAATATGAAATTTCTACAAAAATGTTTCCCTTGTTAAAACACTATGTTTTTATTTCAGGTATTGGCCTTAAAATTTGCATATTTTTTTCTTTCTTCAAAATAGATGATCCATAATTATATGGAACACTTAGAAAGAACAAAACTTCATCAGCTCTCAGGGAGTGATCAACTAGAGTCCACAGCTCATAGTAGAATTAGGTAAGCTTTATTAAACATTTTGCCTTGAGAAAAATCGAAATAATCTGTTTCTGTTTCTCCCTGTTCTTTAATCCTGGAACAATAGTTAGGCTGATTCACAAAGCTCTCTCTCAAAAAGGGTGGTTGGAATGCTATAGGAGAGAATAGCATAGAAAAATAGAAACAGCCCTCACTATTAAAAAGGTAAATCGTGAGCCATGCCATCTAAGCAACGTATCGAGGTATTTTGATTGCTTTATAATACTTAATGGAGATTATACTAGGTTTAAATTTTTCTGATTTGTGGGGGTGCTGAAAATTTTTCATGTCTCCTGTATAATTGGTTTAAAGTCCTTTTCGTTACCAAGAGGCATGTTTGAAAGGGTTAGACTTCTGTTTGATGTAGGAGTGTGAATAAATTATGCAGATCCCCCAGCATTGTAGCCAATGAGCTAAGCCAGGACTCTTAGTGGAGAGGAAAGTAGTTAATAGGCTGGCTGTCGCTCTGGATCGCTGCATAAACGCGAGGAGCAGCGGCTCTATGGTTATGAGGTGGGGAGAGCAGGATGACGTCATCGCTTCGGAGCTGCTGCAGGATGGAGTGGAAAGCTGCTGCTGATGGCATTGTTTTTGTGGCAGCCGCTGAATGACAGATCCTCACTACAAAGATTCCCCTTTGGCCCCTGTGTAGGCCTCCTGGTTCCGGTATTTCACCATGCCAGCACAGCGCCATGAGTCCTGGATGCATGCTGCTGTTTGTGTTTGGCTTTGTTGGCGGGGCGGTGGTCATTAATTCTGCTATCTTAGTATCTCTCTCTGTTTTGCTGCTTGTGCACTTTTCTATTTCTACCGGTGTGCCAGCTCTGACGCAGAACCTACCAAGGATACTCAGGTACTCTAGTCTCTCTTAGAAGCCCCTGTTTAGTTGGTTTTTCTCAAATTTTTAGCTTCACAGGTCTGCTTTGTAACCATTTCTGTTGCAGATTGAAACAATGGAAAATGGCCTGAAGCTAGGATTTTCTCTTCTTATTTATAGTAATTTACAGGCTACCACCTAGGGATACGGCTTTGTCTTTGGAAACTACGGACTTAAGGATTTTCATATTGTACTTATGCACAAGTACAAGGTCAGTGTGGTCTTGTGTTAGGCAGAGTGTTCAGAGAATAAAGGGAGAGCAAGAGTAAAACACTGGGTCCAAGTTTATAAACCTCTGTGTTTAGCATCTGAGCATTTTGGGGCCAGTATCTTTTATGCTGAGACGTATAGTCGGGTAGACACAGGCTATAGGTGTTTATTTTGTTCAGTTATCCTTTGACTGATGGACATTTAGGCATCATTTTTGCAATTTTTGATAACTTGCGGGAACTGACAATTTAAATATTTTCTTTCTAAAAAAAATATATTTTAAAGTGAAAGGATTTAAACCTTTTAGGGCAAGGAATGCATTTTCCCCCTCATCATTTACACATCAAAGTTGTGAAAGCTTTGCAAAGCCTATTCACTATTGTTTTGTCAGATGTTGCCCTTTCTTTGTAGACTTGGGTGACAAATATCCGTGCCTGCTTGTGGGGGCAGTCATTAATCTCCAGGGCTTTGCTGCTGCTCACTCTACTCACACCCTGTAAGAACTGTTTTCGACATCTTAGGTATTTATTTAAGGGTTGGGTGTCTTCTGTTTTCTAACTCCTCAAACTAAAGACATCTGATTTGTTCAGATTTCTGCGTTGTGCGAGGTTTTAAAGGAAGGTTCATGGTGTCGAGCTTTTATTATTTAAATATTTACTTAAAATACTCAACTTGTGGATTTAGATAAATTAAGATGAATTAAATTAGTATATTCCCTCAAGGTGTTCTATTCATCGGTCGGTTTGTGTTTAACATTAGTTTAAGGCCCCCAGAAGTTAAATTTCATTTATGATCTAAAAATTAGATACTTGGTCATTTATTTTCTTTCCTGATTTTATAAAAATTGGAAGAAATCTTACTACTTTTGTATATTTAGTACACAAAAGATTTGTTTTTATGTATATTTAGGCTTTTAGGAAATTAAAAAGACCTTAACTAAAGCATATGTAAGATTAAAATAAGACGAATTTTAAAGGGCTGTCTTAGGTTTCGGCTCTGTTGGAGATGGCAGCGCTGTGCTGGGCCACGCAGGGCCGCGCAGTGGGTAAGAGGCTTTGGAGCTGGGCTGCCTGGTTATAAATGCTCTGCCACATGGCAGCTGTAGGACCTCTGGCAAGTTGCTTAAAATCTCTGCAACTGGGTTGCCTCCCCTGAGGTTCTCCACCCCTCTGGATAGTTTTAAAAATCAAGTGTGAGATTATTATTTTTTGTTTAATCAGTTGCAAGATATTTAGTAAGCCAAACAAGTAAATAATTTGCGGTCACTTATATATGCACCCCATTTTTAGCAGAACTGTTTTCCAGAACTCTAGCTATTTTACTGATAAAATACCTTATGATTAAATTTGAAAAGTTCCTTGACACAAAAATTGCTGATCTAATGGAATAAAGATCTCAAAGTCTTCAATATTAAGGTTAAATTGTCAAGAAATAGGTAGGGGTTCCAAGGAAAGTACATGGGCCTCGGAGTGCAACAGGTCTGACTTTGAGCCCCATCTCTGTGGATTACTAATGCTTAATGTCTCTGAGCATCAATTTTCCTAATCTGAAAACTGGGGAAAGAATCCCTATTTCCATGAGAGTGTAAACAAACCATCCTTTGTGCTTGCCACATGGTGAATGTTGAACAATGTTTTTAAAATTTTATTAATGGTTATTTGTTTTAAATGTCTATAGAGCCAAGAAGCTGTTTCAAAACATAATTGGGAATTTATTTATACACAGGTTACATTTAAATAACCAACTAAAAAATGAATATATGGAACTAAGGCAGTTTTTAAAAGAATATAACAAGGATTCTGATAGTTGAAGATGGCTTTTTTTTTTTTTTTTTTTTTTTTTTATTTTTTGTTTTTCAGAGTCCATCGTCTCTCATGGTTCGTCTACCCCTCCGATTTCCCCCGCTTCTCAACTTGACATTTAAACTCATGAATTATTCCTTAGTAGCATCCATTTTAGTATTTCTATCATATACCTATCTAAGATTTTTTCTTATATACTT